AAAATAATAGAAATAAATATACAGTTTTTGCTTCCTAGTTTATTAGTTCATAGGGCGATTGCCCAAATTAACAGTTTGTAGAAATAACATTTTATTGCTTATTCTGAGTCGAAATTACTTAATAACTAAAAGACTAAAGAGATGAAAATGTTTAATATTTTTGTCCTGTACCTGTGTTGTCCATAATGACGTTAACCTTATATGTCAAGTCCTGATGGATGTTACAATAACAATAGTTTTAATGTATTAGTCAGTTTCTTCTCTTTTTTTTTCAGGTTTATAGAACACTGAAGTACCTTGGCAATCCAAATTTAATAACAATAACTAAGGAACAGAAACAAGTGGTACGAACAACGATACCAGAGCTAGCAACTAATAGAGGACCGCAGTCTTCTGGGTCAGAAATTAATAGGGAAATTTAGGACTTAATAAAACTTTTTAATCTTTTAGTGAACTCCTCCGAATCTTCAAGTAAGACTTGGAAGAATTAACCAACAAAAATTGGAACTTCCTGAGGAAGGTGAGCTAGTTTTCTGGATAAGTAAGGATGGGGATGCGTAGAACAACCGGTAGCACAAAGGAGAGAGGCTGTAGTGCCATAAAGTGTGCACATGGCTAGTGCTCTAAGGTGTTGTTGATGCTTCAACTCATCTCACAGAACTTCTTAAGTTTTCTGTAATCTTTTACATTTAAAAGCCAATATAATGCGTACTGGAGATTATTTTTATATGCCAAAGTCGAAAAATCTCCCAGTATGAGCTGGGTGAAACATTGTACAACATGTAATGCCACCTTGGATAGGTTAGGACCATTATTATGGAATCGGTCGCGAGTACCAAGGGAAAGCGAAAAACGAAATTAGGTTTCTTTTTTTCCGGTCTCCACGTTTCTTAGCAGTATTTTCTTCTTATATACGAGGCGCATCCAGAAAGTAAGTTTCCTTAATTTATAAAAAAAACAAATTCGCACTTTCAGGAACATATTTATTGTCAACAAGTACAACAATGCTTCAGCTATTTTTCAACATAGCCACCTCCAGAATTGAAACACTTGTCGTATCGTGGAATCAACTTTTGTATGCCTCTGTCATAGAGCTCTGCCACCTGTGAATGGAACCAACGTGTGACAGACGTCTTCAGTTCTTCGTCGTTTCCAAAACGCTCACCGGAGGACAGGAATTTCTTGAGGTGCAAGAAAGCGTGAAAATCACTGGGAACAATATCAGGGCCGTAAGGTGGATGATCAAACAACTCCCAGCCAAATTCCGTCCAAACAGCTGCTGTGCACCATGCCGTATGTGGACAAGCATTGTCATGGAGGAGCGCAACACGAGCAGTAAGCATTCCATGACTCTTGTTTTGAATGGCAAGTCACAATTTCCGCAGTGTTTCGCAGTAACAGTTACAGTAAGGGCAGACGTCTGTCACACGCTGGTTTCATTCATAGGCGGCAGAGTTCTATGACAGAGGGATGCAAAAGTTGATCCCACGATACAACAAGTGTCTCAATTCTGGTAGTGGCAATGTTGAAAAATAGCTTAAACATTGGTGTACTTGTTGGCAATAAATATGATTCTGAAAGTGTGAGTTCTTTTTTTTATAAATTAGGGAAACTTACTTTTTGGATGCTCCTCGTATATACATAAATTAATTTTCAAATAACTTGCGAAACGTAGATTATAAATTTTCATTTGTTTTTTTTCTTTTATTACATATACGCCTCATATTCACTCACAGGCGACGTGAAATTTATGTGGTAAAACCATGAATGAATTCAGTCATTCAAAGATAAAACAGAAAGTAAATATTGACATCCTGTCGGTAGAGGCAAAAGAAGACAAAACATAGCATTTGACCTTTTTGTGTATAATCATATGCTGTTCTTAAACGAATTACGCGGTAATTGCTCAGAAGCGATTGATCTTTGGGATGGTTTCGGAATCTCGTGAAAGATTGATGATTTTGTTTATTTTGTGATATTACTTGTATGAGAATTGAAGATGTAAACGAGAAATTTTTATAATTCACGTGCAATTGACTTTAGATAAAATAATAGAAATAAATATACAGCTCAAAAAGGCACTATTGTAAATTTATAAGTTGAAACTTAACTTTTTGAATAAAATAACGATACATTTTGAGCCACATAAGTTTTTTTCAAATACACATTT